TCTGTTGGCGCAGCCTCTTCCTATGGTACATTACTCTGAGCCCAATATAACTGCGTGTTCCCATAGCCCCTCATTACAGCTACAGCTTCTCACTGCTTTGTAATTAAAAAAAGAAAGAGGGAGAGAGAAAGAACGGGAAAATGAAACCTAAAGCTGAGGTGAGATATTGTCTGGGTACGCAGGGAATAGCCTGGGCAGATTGCTTATTTAATCTTTTAACTCTTTCCAAACTTTCAAGGACGATGTCTTGATTTCTGCTTCCAGGAGCCTGGTGGGTTCTCTCTCCAGCACACGCGTGCACAGCCAGTAGTCGGTAGGCCCCCAGATTATTACAAAGTCAGGGCTTCAGCGTAGACTCTTGAAGCCTACTGTGAGCTTCGAGCAAGTCTAGAAGGGCTGCCAACCTTGTGGTCGGATGCTTAGTGAACATAGATCCCACTCACCACCTAAGTACGGAATGTAAAAGGTTGTAAAAATCCTGATGTTCCGCACCATCCCAAGTTAAGAGTTCCTCATTCCTCTACCCCCCTTCTAGTCCTACGGCAGAAAACAGCAGCAGCAGCAGCAGACATGGCTTTATCAAGGAGAGTTTCTTTTGTCATTCATCCACCTTGACGGATTCCAAATACCTTTCAGGTACCAAAACAAATTAATCTCCAAAGATGACCGGTACAAATGGCTTACGTCACTTGGGATTGGCCGTTTGAGGGGCTGCGAGCAAGCATGGCTGAGCCGCCGGCCTCTTTTGACAGGCAGCAACTCTCTGATCTCTTTCTGGGTCAAGAGCCCTTTGACCCTTTTACAGTGAAATCTGTTTGACAGTTTTGAGCTGCTTCCCCACTCACATATTCCTGCTTTATTTTATGTATCTGACTGCTCTCTCGGGTGATCATTTGGTAGCTACGATGCAGAAGTTTATTTCTGGGTCAGTGTATTGCCTTAGCGTCACGGAAATTTTTAGTGCGGACTCCTTACAAACAGTCAGGATTTCAGCTTTATATGACTCCATATTTCATTCCGTGTTGTGGGAAAGACAGTTTCATTTCGGCTTTATCAGAGAGCAGAGTCCCTCAGGTAGCTATCCTCGAGACCTCGGCTAGCCAGAAGAGTAGCCACTTAGTTACTGTGGTTGGTGAACCCTGGGAATGTGACTAGTCTGTGTGGAGATGTACCGGAAATGTAAAATAGAGCCCAGGTGACGAAGACTTGGTATGAGGAGATGCACAATACCATATTGGTAATTTTTAGATTGATTACACGCTGAAACAGTAACATTCTGGATGTATTGGCTTAAGTAAAGTATTCCAAAGAATTTCTCCTTTGGTTGGTTTAAAATTGTTTTTTAAATGTGGCAACTATAAAATTTAAAATTGCCTCAGACTTGTGTTCTGTTTGAATTTGACAACTCTGTTCGAGCCTTCTAGGCCCTATGATAGCAAGTCCGTATCGGTCTTCATCACACTTGGGTCTCCAGTACACAAGGCACTCCCTTACACGGAGAAACCCAAACCCACCGTCACTGAGTTGATTCCATACATACATCTTTATTTGTTGAATGAATGGTTAGGCACGTTCTCATATGAGTTAGGCTTCTGGGTATGTGTTCTGGCTTGAAAGTCTCAGCTCTGACACAGCTGGATTTGTGCCATCCTGGCAGAAAGCCAGCTTCCCAGAAATCAGGTTCAACATTTAGGAAGGACGATCATGGGTCAGCAGTTTGAAACCACCAGCCACTCCTCAGGGTCCCAACCTGTGGGTCGCGACCCGTTAGGGTGTCGGATGACCCTTTCACAGGGGTCGCCCGATTCATCACAGTAGCAAAATTACAGTGATGAAGTAGCAACGAAAATAATGTTAGGGGGTATTACCACAACATGAGGAACTGTGTGAAAGGGTGGAGGCATTAGGAAGGTTGAGAACCACTGCCTTAGAGAGAGGTGGTTGTTTCTGTTGTTGGTAACTTGCCATTAAGTAGGTTCCGACCCGTAGTGACTCTAGCCTAGCCCAACAGAATAAAACACACTGCCCGGTCTTGCTCCACCCTCAGAACCGTGCCTATGCTTGTGCCCATTGCTGCAGCCACAGTGTCAGTCCATCTCCTCAAAGGCCTTGCTCTTTTTCGCTGCCCCTCTACCCGACACGATGTCCTTCTCCAGGGACTGGTCTCTCCTGGCAACATGGCCAACGTATGTACGATGAAGCCCTGCCATCCTTGCTTCTAAGGAGCTCTCTGGCCTTACTTCATCCAGGACACACCTGTGTGTTCTTTTGGCAGTCCGTGGGACTTTCACCATTCTTCTCCAGCATCCCCGTGCAAACGCATCAAATCTTCTTCTGTCTTCCTTATTCCGTGTCCAACTTTCACACACATAGGAGGTGGTACAGGCTAAAGGAGGGGCTTTAAATTCCGTAGAAGGGCAGGGCCATTTCAGAGGATCTTGTCAGCGGTCAAAGTGAAACTCCTCCCCTGACCTCTCAAACCTGGGTTTCAAAGAAGTGTGTTTGAAGTTGTGTTCAGAAGAGACTTTGCTAGTGTTTGTTTCCATTTTGCATTTCTGAACAGTGCACGTAGTTAGCTTTCTCCCTTTAATCGTGGTCCACTGCCTTTTCCCTCTGCCCTCAGAGATAAACAACCCAGAAATCTCCTTTCCACAGAGACCTATAGCGTTCATGTCTTGACTTGGCTGCTGCAGCAGGCTCCCGCTAATCAGAATCACAGCAGGGCTTGTTTTATGAGCCGGCAAGAATTAGTGCGCCCAGGGGGCTGAGGTTCCGTACCTGCTGGGGAGCTCCTGGTTTCTGGGTTGCGCTGCCCTCCTTTGGCATCAAGCTACCTTCCTCCCCCTTCTCACAGGAGGATGATCCCCCACCCCCACCCCTTTCCTTGTAGTCTGAGGTTATTGACTTTTTTCTTTCTTTCCTTTTTCGAGTACACCAGTAATGCTGGTAATAGATTTTTCCAAAAAAATGTTTTAATTTATGGAAATAGAGTTTGATCATATGACATTATAATCTATCCCAGGGAAGCTGAGAACAGAGTGCAAAATAGCAGGTGGCGCCCTACAAACCAAATTGTCTAATGGGACTTTTCTCGGCAATGTCAGATGCTGAGATCTCCCGAAGCACCTGGTCTGCAGAGCGGGTGGGATGCGGGAATATAGAGGGGGATGGCACCCCACGGGGGTGGGGGTGGAGGGTGGGGGGTGGGGAGTGGAGCTCAGGAGTCATGTGGGCCAGAAGTCACCAGGCGAGGTGTGTAACGCATAGAACCGGGAGCCATCAACTCCAGGGCAGCCGGCTGGCAGGGACTGACGGTCTCTGCGCTCTGGGGCTGCCACCGCGTTCCCCGCACACCGTTGGTGCGCGCGCTCATTATAACAGATAAATAACCACGCATGGACACTCACTGGGATCACTGTACCGCATTTTCAATTCTGTATTTCCTCAGTATACTTATTTTTTTTATTAAATACTTTTATTGGGGGCTCTAACATCTCATCACAACCCATACATTCATCCATTCTGTCAAGCACCTTTGTACATTTGTTGCCATCATCATCTTCAAAGCATTTTCTTTCTACTTGAGCCCTTGAGGCAGCTCCTCATCCCCCCCTTCCCCTTCCCTCCCTCCCTCATGAGCCCTTGAGAAGTTATAGGTTATTATTTTCATACTTACATCGTTCTTTCACTTCAGAGGCAATACTCTGAAGTTCGCAGGCAAGGGGTTCTCATCTCCGCGAGCACAGGAGGAAGCTAAGGCTCGGTGCAGTTAAGTGATAGGCCTAAGTTGCTCTAAGTCAGCGGTTCTCAACCTGTGGGTCTCGACCCCTTTGGGGGACGACCCTTTCACAGGGGTCGCCTAAGACCGTCTGAAAACACATATTTCTAATGGTCTTAGGAACCGAGACACCGCTCTTCTATCCGTCTCCAAGCCGGTCCGCCCACATGCAGATAACGCCCACCATACGAGTACTCTGCGTGAAGACGGTTACCTATGCTACATCATGCTCCGACAAAATTTCATTTATTTGTCATTAATAATAAATATCTCACCACATAGAATTACCTATTGTTTTTGTGACTCATCACTATGCTTTAATGATGTTCAATTTATAACAATGAAAATACATCCTGCCTATCAGACACTTACATGACGATTGTTAACAGTAGCAAAATTATAGTTATGAAGTAGCAACAAAAATAGTGTTATGGTTGGGGGTCCCCACCACATGAGGAACTGTATGAAAGGGTCTTGGCTTTAGGAAGGTTGAGGACCCTGCTCTAAATCGTAGGTCAAGCTGAAGAGGGTGTAGAGTCATCGGCGGTGTGGGGCAAGGCCGGTTCTCCTTGGCAGTGAGGACCCTTTAGGAGGGCCATGCTTTATCCTAATTGTACTGGGAAATAACAGTCAGACCTGCCCCTTGAATTGGGGGGCCCTAGTACTACGTTGGAAAGAGCCCCGGGCTAGGAGCCAGGAATTGCCAGTTCTGGCTCCTGGCTTTGTGACCATGGGTCATTCTTGACCTCGGGGCCGTTGCTCTTCTGTGGAGTGCTGTAGACACTTGCGTCTGCGCATCGTATGAAACTTGTGACTGTGAAAAGACTTTGTGGCATGAATTCAAAGCAGTGGTTGGTGGGGTGTGTTGCATCCTAACTAATAAGTGGTCCCACCCCAGTGTGCTTATCTCAGGGGGGCTCTGTTTCCTTGCCGTTTTTTTGAATATACAGAAATTTTATTGACATGAAAAGAGTTTGCATGCATGTCTAAAAACAATTCTATCTTAAAATTTCAACCAACTTAATAGCTGCTGTTAGTGGTATATTTATAGAAGCGTTAAGGGGAAAATACCTACTCCCAACTTTTTACTGCATTTTGTGGGAGAAATTGTGCGCTACGGTGCCTGTCAGTTGCCAGGGAATCCCTGAAGGCTTTTAGAGTGTATGGGCCCTCTAAGAGTTTTTCGCTTTAAAATCCTGCGTTTCTTCTCTCTCTTTCTCAGCCCAACAGGGGCACCAAACGTCCCCGGGATGATGAAGAAGAAGAGCTGAAAACACGCCGGCGACAGGCTGCCCCCCGAGAACGTGGCCGCTACCGGGAAGAGGAAATGGCTGTCGTAGAAGAAGCAGATGACGACAAAAAAAGGCTGCTGCAGATTATTGACAGAGAGGGCGAGGAGGAAGAGGAAGAGGTAATGTGGCAGAGGTGCCCTAGGGGCCGAGGGGGCCGCCTCTGCTCTAACACAGGAGCTGTGGGCTGGAACTGTGGGCCAAGTACTCCATTTCACCAAGCTTTCCCTCTTGGTCTGCAAAGATAGAGCTGAGAATCCTTAGTTCTCAGTGCCGATGGGCTGGTGAAGGAGGATAATGGAGCTGAGAACGCAGTTGGTGAAGTAGAAAGAACACCTTAGAGGTTCCATTTGTAAATGACTCTGGGCAGTGTTCGAATGGCGTCCAAGCACCAACTGTTGGGAACAGTGAGGATGGGGCAATGGTGCTGATTGGGGGAAAGCAGGGAAGGCTTCCCCCACCAGACCAAGGGCACCTCGCAGGCTCGTAGCTGGTAGACTTAGTGAATAGGATCAACCAGGCAACTGGAAGCAGGGCACATGGTACAGAGGGAATGGCACTGGCAGAGCAACAAGGGTGCTGACAGTCAGTTGGTGTGGCTGGAGAAGGAGATGCCGTAGGGTCAGTGCACTCATTCCTGCCTCTAGAACTTTGCCCTCTTTGCCTGGCCTAGCTGCGAGGTGGCTTCTCAGCGAGGTCTTGCCTACCCGTGAGGTCGTCTGCCCTGTCCTCCGCTCTGCACTCTTCTCACATCTTTCTATAGACTGTGTTCATAGCACTTCTGATTGGAAACCGTTTACGTATCTGGCTCATGTGTGCCCCTCCCCCTCAGGGAAATGTATCCACTCACTGCCATTGAGTCAGTTCTGGCTCGCGGCCACCTATGGGCAGAGTAGGACTGCCCCTGGGGGTTCTGAGGCTGTAAATCTGTACGGAAGCAGACAGCCTCATCGCTCTCCTGCCGAGTGGCTGGTGGGTTCGAAGTGCTAACCTTGTGGTTAGCAGTCCAGTGCCTCACCCACTGTGCCACCAGGGCTTCTGGGAAAATGTAAGTTTCGTGGGCACAGAGACTGGCTGCCTTGTTAACAGCTCTATCTCCAGCACTCAGAATAGTGCCTAGCTCTTAGGTAGACTCTTAATAAATATTTATTGAATGAATAAATGGATGAGACAAAAAAGATTAGAGGTAAAATACCAGTGATTAAAAAGAAAATCACCTTACCTTTGTGTCTTTCTAAATCCTAAAGCGTTAACTTGTATGTTATCTCGCGCTGGCATTTTGTTCAATATGAATTATGGAAATAGATCCTTCAGAGCCAGCTGGTTTTGGGTTCTCTTCAAGACACGGTGCTAAGTTTGGATTTAAAAGCTGGAGTGTGAATCTGAGAGGAAGAAGAGATTCATATTCCAAAAAGGTCTCTACGGTGTTGTGGCACTACCCCTGTCCTCATTAGGCTTTGTCCTGGTGCTAATTTAGAGGTCTGCCCTTAAAGATGGCGGCGACACTCAGAAAATCTGTGGTGGGAGACAGTCGTGCATTTCTGAATGTTCCCTCTAAGGGCAGCCCACCCCACCACGGCTGTGTGTGTGGCACACCCACCTTCCTCCCCCTCTCCGCCAGCTCCTGCACAATCTGTTAGCCCTGCAGCAGCAGTTAATTGGCAGGTATAATTCCCATGTAGGGCAAGGCTGGTACCCGAGGAGTCGGATCGTAGCTGTCATGGGTAAATGGTTCCTAGCCTGGGAGACAGAAATGCCAGGTGGGACCAGCCCTTCTGTTAAGGGACAGGGGAAAAGAGATCGCTTTGTAAAAATGATCCATGGAAGTCCAGGAGTTATTTTCTCAGAGCTACCAAATCCCACTGGATGAAAACAAGCGATGGCTGCCCTGTGGAGTCACGTGCGCCTGTAAAATATTATTGTCCTCTTTGTGCCACATCGCCAACTTTCATCTTCCCGAAACCTCCCTCCGGTTCTGACATTGAGTTATTGGAGATAGTGCAGTGGCTGACGACTAAGACTGATAAGTCCCTTTCCCTCAGTGAGTGCTGGGGAGAAATTACGGGAGGGAAGGCCAAACTCTGGAGAGGGGAGGACTTTGGCCATCCCATGAGAGCTGTTTTAACTCCCATAGGGTTTTTCTATAGGGCAGGCCCAATATTGGCTAAGGGAAATAAAAATGGTGGATATGAGGTTACCCCATTCCTAGGAATTTAGATTTTAATTAAAACCCGGTGGTATCAAGGAGCATTATGCCTGTTTTGAATAGTGACAGCAGTAGCTTACGTGAAGGTCATATGGTTTATAAAACAATGTAGTGTAGATCCTTTCTTTGGATTATCACTCTGGCCTTTGAAGATAACATCTTTCGCCCTCCCATTCCTCTCCCTCCAGTTTTCAATGGGTGCCTGCTCTGTGCCAGCACTGAATAAATAGATATGTGCCATCCACAGGGGCACACATGTCCCAGTTTGGGGTTGGAAAAATTACACAGCCTAACAACAAAGCGTTTCTTTCATGGCCTCTGGGTTCTTAGGGCTGTTCCTAGGGTTATTTGGGGGTACTGATTTGGAAAATTGCAAAGGATAGACCACATCAGTATTAGTTTCTTAGATATGATATTCCACTACATTGAAGAATTTGGGCTCATAAATTATAGGGTATGACAGAAGTAAAAAAAATATATAACAAGGACTTCGGCATTAACTTCCAAGGGAATCTGTACATGGACCCCTGGTGGCTAGTTGTTTGCACATGGAGCTGACAGTCATAAGGTCAGTGGATTGAAGCCCTGTTCACTTGGCAGCCTCTAAAAGATTTAAAGGCTTGGAAACCCAAAGGGGCAGTCCTTCCCTGCCCTGTAGAGTCACCATGAGTTAGAACGCAGTAGAGGGCAGCGTGTTTTTCTTTTGGGCGTGGGAAGTTGTGCAATATTAACCCAGAGACTGCAAGTTGGATACTGCACAGCCAGAACCCAGCTTGAGAAGAGGGGAAAAGGACATTGAAAAGGTACATATATAGAAGACGTGAGGGCAATTTAGAGTGTCAAAAATCTAAAATATCATAGTTTACGTAAATACTTTGAAGATCTAAATTTTCCGCAAATTATGCAGTAAGCATTTCAGAACACAGTTTAATATGTAGAAGTCAATAGATAATTTATGATAAATGTTTCAGAGGTGAGGTTAACCCTAAGCTTCTTTATAAGAACAATGTTAACTTCTCTTTGAAGTGTTTCTGTGCACAGATGGAGAAGTTGTGCCATCTTATAGCAAGACTGAAGCACTTTATTTTTAGTAAAGGAGTTCAACTCTGGCAAACTCCTTTTGGGTCTCAAAACATGATCTCTATTTATTGAACGAGCTTACGACCCGATAGCCATTGAGACCTCCTAGGACAGAGGAGACCGTCGGTGGGGTTCTGCGGCCGTCAGTCTTTGTGGGAGCAGGAAGAATCATTTTCCTCTTGCAGAACAGTCGGTGAGCTCAAACAGCTGACCCTGTAGTTTGCAGTCGGACACATAACTCACTACACCACCAGGGCTCCTTCTTTCTTGTACAGTAGCTCTTATTTCTGGGGCCCCTTTTTAAGATAACAAATCGGAACTGCTTGCTATTCACTTCCTAATAAAGGTGAAGTGATAGTTGGGGGAAATTCCAAGTTCATGTAATTTTCCCTGTTCAAATACATCTTTGCATCAAAGGACACCATGTGCACTATAACTGGATCTAAGCATTTAGTACAACACAGACTACTTTAGATAAAGCCACCGTGTACTTCCTTTCTCTCAGGCTAGCCAATGCAACATTAAACTGCCTTGGCTTTTTATGGGTGAACAGAGTGAAGAGTGGTATATGGTGTCTGTTGTATGTTTCAAAATCCAGAGCTGATGGAAGAAAATGGGTGCCATTTTTTGAACCAGCAGGTCAGATATATCCAAAAGCCTGACCTTTGAGGCAACGAAGGGTGTTGGCCAATGATATCTTGGCAAGATTCCACAGGCTCTTCCTTCCAAGCCACGGGAGGGACTTGCAGTGTTGAGCTCCGAGTGGCAAGGGGCTGGATAGAATCCATTGGACTGGGAGCGTTTGAGGACCCTAACCACTGCTACGTGGCCTGTAGGTGAGGAAGCTAGTTCTGACTCGAGGCTGCCTTCATGTTCTCACCATGTCTGGGGGCTTTTCTTTAAACTGCAGACCCCGGGGAGGGGTACAAGTCCACCAGAGTACTTCAGGGCCCAGTAGGCATTGACATAATCTGGAACACAGGTCATGTCCAAAACAAGTTTGTAGGCATCTCCCACTTAAAACCCAGTATGTGAAAAATCAGCGTTTATTTAATATTAAACTAATAGCTCATGTTTTTGAATACTTAACAAAATCACGGGATGATTCCATGTTGTCCAAAAGGATCTCTTTCAGGTTCTCATACTGTCAGTTTCTGTATTGCATGTAGGTGTGAGTTAGGTCACTGGCTACAAAGGGATGATGGCGGGAATCGGGAGCGTGTTCAAAGGAGCCGAGTGCATTGCAGCACATTAATTTAAGCAGGAAAGTAAACCCAAGAGAAAGTGTTTCTGAAGTATGTGGAGCTGGGGGGAGGGGATGACTCCCTTTTCAAAAAGTCACTGTATTTACCTTCACAGAGATGATTATTCTACCCTAGGAAGCAAGAAGACGGTGCGTGGTCATGTTTGTTTGTTTCTCGCTTCCTTAGGGGAGGATAATAGATGCCTTGGCATTAGGGCCGGATTCCACATTCTTGTCCGATTCTCTTCTCAGCAGCTAGTGAGGCCTAGACACAGTCGTGTGTAAGAAGTGCACGATAGCGAGTCTAGCTCTCAGGCTGCACAGCACTGGGGAGTGGGCCACATTTAGCCTGTGGACCACCCCCCAGGTGTGGGGGAAAGAAGCCGACGCTCTATGACTGACTCCAGTTTTGACCTGGAACAAATTCTTTACCTGAACATGTCTTACATGGACATCAAAGCAGGACATGATAAGAATTAATCAATATTCTGTAGTATTGCTCATGAAATCTTTATTGAATGAACGAGTCTTCATAACGCCACAAGCTGTTTCCTGTGCTATAGATACGAGCAATGTGAGAGCCATCCCGACAAACATAAAACAGCAAAGGCTATACACCCTGAACCCTCTTTCCAGGTGGGGAGACAAGGTGTCGACTATGGGTGTAGCCCAGTGAGGTAGCTGGCAGAGTGGGCAGAACTTAGAGGACCCAGGAGCAAAGAGGTGGTGGAGGCTGGGAAGGCCGCGGGGACTGAAGTGGCTGCGTCTGTTCCTTTGTTCCAGGAGGAACCACTGGATGAGAGCTCCGTGAAGAAAATGATCCTCACATTTGAAAAGAGATCGTACAAGAACCAAGAGCTGCGGATTAAGTTTCCAGACAATCCAGAGAAGTAAGGCTCCCTCACCTCTTCACTGTCTTTTCCCGCGTATGTTCTGAAGCCCCTCTTACTTACATATCCACCGCGTTCTTTTTGACGGGCGCATAGCACTTCATGATATGGAGACATCGTTGTTTATTTAACTGGTTTTCTATTGGTGGCCATTTGGTTGTTTTAAATACTGGTATTTATACACAGTGCTGCAAGAAGCCTTCTTGTACACTTGTTTCAGGTGCGTACCTTTCTATAGAACTGATGCATAAATGTTGAATTCCCATAGTGAAGGCTATGTATATTTTAAACTTGGGTGGCTACTGCTAATTTCTCACAATATCCTTTTAATTACCCCACCCCCCTCAGCTGCATTCTGGCAGACAATGGATCTGATTGGTCTTTAGTCCTCTTGATATTTGTTTTGTTATTTCTGCATTAACTTGTGTTTCCCTACCTCTACACATTGGTGCTTAGTAAATACAAGAGCTCATATGTAGTGAATGTCACCTTTATTGTATCCCTCTCATAACCCCGCTCCCTCCTCCCCCAACCAAGGATGCCTTATGTATTTTGAAGTTATTTATCCTAGAGGTTGATAACACAGGAAGTGGCAGAAATCCAATTCACAACATTGCCTTTGTCCGCTTGGTCAGTACACTGTCAATTTAGACTAATCAGCAGCAGTGATTTGTATCCAGATAGAATTTTCAAACAATTTTAGTGTTCACATATCTGAACATTTGAACATTAAAATTATACATAAAGAATTCCCTCCCTCACCCCCTCCTTTCTTGACAGAAGGCTCCTAGGAAAGTACATTGTGTTTTAACCTTGAACTCTATTGATGCAGTATCTCATAATTCTAGAGCACTGAGGCGCAATTAAGATGAAAATTGCTAAAGCATAGTTGAATGCAACTTTCCAGTTGAGATCAGAAACATTTAAATTTATTTTCCTTTATATGCAATTGTCATCTTGATCACATACCCAGAATGCCTCTCTTCATTTGGCTGTGTTTCAGATTTAATCGACAATTCTCCCTATGCAGGCTCCATCTACTTTGCACGGTGTGATGTTTCCTCCAAACATCTTGTTGAGTGGAATGCGTTATTTCCCCAGTAAATCCTTTAGTAGTTTTATTCTGCAGAGACAGAATCACCGAGTGTCTTAGTTGTCTAGTGCTGCTGCTATAGCAGAAACTCAAATGGATGGCTTTAACAAATAGAAATTTACTCTCGCAGTTTAGGAGTCTGGAAGTCCAAAGTTAGGTCGCTGGCTCTAGGGAAAAGCTTTCTCTCTCTGTTGACTCTGGAGGAAGGTTCTTGTGCATTGTCTTCTAGTTCTATTTTTCCATGAACTTTTTGAAGCCCCCTATAGGGGCCCAGTGTTCATTGGCGCCAGTCTTCCCCTGGGTCTAGCTGGTTCTCCGTGCAGGGGGGCCCTGGATCCAAAGAATAAGCTCCACTCCTGACTTGTAATACCGTGGTCGTCTTGAGATCTCTCTCCTCAGTTGTTTAATCTTTCTTATATCTCAAAAGAGATGGACTCAATCAAACCTAATTCTGTAGATTGTATCCTGCTTCGTTAACCCCCTGGTGGTTCAGTGGGTGATGTGTCAGCCTGCTGATCACCGGGCCAGCGGTTGGAATCCACCCAGGGCTCTGTGGAGGAAAGATGGGGCTTCATGCTCTCATAAAGATTTACAGCCTTGGAAACTCAGAAGGGCACTGTGTTTCACTCTGCCCTGGAAGCTCATTATAAGTCAACATTGACTCAGTGGCAGCAAGGTTTTGGCCTTTGATCCTGCCTCATTAACATAGAGGTTAGAACTTACAGCATATAGGCTAATGACATCAGGTCACAGGGTGGAGAATGATTACATAATCATGGCCTAGGCAGGGTGACATATTGGGAGGGGGACGGTTCAATTCATCACATCTGGTTTAGGAGTTCTCAAGCTATTTGGTCTCAGGACCCCTTTTCACTCCTATATTGAGTCCCCCAAAGTGCTTATCTTAAAACATTCTAGGAAATACAGAAGCACATCGATACATATTCCAATAGCCATCAGGACAATGGTGTCATCTCAAGCTTTGAATAGGTCCATTCAAGGTGCCTCTTGCTAGGAGTGTGCAGATACACTGCATCAGAGCCTACATTGTCACCTGGGAGGCTCTGTTACAAGCCCCTTGGGATCTTGCTAAAGTGTCGAGTCGGCTGCAGTCTAGCTGGGGAGGAAAGGAAACTTCTTAGCAGAGGCTCTGCACTGAGAACTCTGCCCCATGCTGTGGGGCTCTCTGAAACCTCCACTGTTGACTCCAGAGAAGACAGGCATGGAAGAAGCAAATAACGTCTTGGTATTTTTACAAACCGAGTTTTGATCATGCCGGCCTCCGTAAGGATTTTGAACCACCTCATAGGGCCGTGGTCTGCACGTTGCTGATTGAGTTGGATGAGAGAGCCACGTTAGTCTCCTTGTCAAACGGGAGTCCCGGTGGTGATTGCTAGTTTCGTGGTTGCTATTAGATTCCATCGGATCCTGTCCTTTTCCTGCCATCATTGAGCCTCCTGGTCACTTACTAATTCCCTCTGTGGTGGCAGGGGGGCATTCTGCTGGTTTGAAGCTAATGGACATGAGCAGGCCAGCAGAATATTCTCCGTCAAGCCGGAGCGAATCAATGGCCCCACCTCAGCCCGGTTATTCTTTTAATATGTGGCTCTACTGCTTTCACAGTGCTCGGGCACTTGTTCTTCCGCCCAGCTGTGAGCCAGCTGCAGGGGCGGGAGGCCTAATCTCTGAAGATAGCCCTTTACAAAGAGTCATGTATGCCTAATGTAAGTAGACATGAGGGAGGGGACGTCAGGAAATGGGTGGAAGAATTCCATCAGCTTTTAATCCCATTTTTCCCATGAACTTTTTGAAAAAAAACCCATCCTTATCAACATAAAGAGGAACATGTTTTTAGAGCATGGCATTGAGCACCTTCTCTAGGCCAGGCTGTCTGTGGTGCATTGCGTGTATCATCTCTTTGATGCCTCTCATTCAGCCAGTGGGAGAAGGAAGCTTAGGCTTAGAATTCCTTTGACCAGTTTGGGGCTCTGTGTTCCCATGGCACTTACCTGGGGCATCACTGGCCTTACAATGAATTGGTTGCCAGAGCTGGTTTCTGGGTCTGTAACCTGGGCACTGCGGGGAGCCAGCATGAGGGATTATTTGTTATCTGTTACATCCAGCGTGACCACACCTAGTGGGTACCCAATTCCTATTTCTTGACATACTGCCAGGGTCACAGAGTCATAGCGTAGTGTGGTTCGGAGTATGAACCAGGTGACCCCACTGGTATTTTTATGATTTTTGTTGTTGTTGCTGCTCCCCATCTGACTGTTTTGTTGTGATAATTTTATGATTTGAATTTTAAAATAATTGGGTTAAGATCATATATTTGGAAGGACAATCTCAGGCTTGGAAGGAACCTGAAGGTTTGCCCATCTAATCGCTGAGTTCTTTTTATATGGCCATTTATCGACTCTCTCCAGTGACAAAAATCTAACTTCCAAAGAAAACCTAGCCCATCATTTGGCAGCTCTGACTTAGAAGATTTCACCTCAGATGAGAAAGAATTTCCACCAGTTCTCATATAAGAGGACATCTCGACTCCTGTAATCTTGATTGCTTTCCTGAATTAGTCTCCATATCCCTCCTAAGGTTCAGCTCCCACATCAAATTGTAAGCTTTTAAGGTCATCTCATCAGCTTGGACCACTCGATCACTCCATATTATACTTCTTTTCAGCAGCCTAAAAGCATTTTCTTTTGGCAGTACTGCCCTCGGTGCCTTCATTTGGCAGGCATCTGGTGCATTTCTATGGTGGACCAGGGACTGTGCCAGCGCTGGGCATCCTCAAACAAATAAGGACTAGCCCTGCCCTGGCAGAATGAGCGCACGGTTCTCATTTGTATTGCAGTTACAGTTGACTGAAACCATCACATGCTGTCAGCGCATGTGCTCCAGCTACACTCTCGCTCTCTCTCCCGACCCACACTCCTGCCACGGGTTTCCAGTCCAGTCCTGTTTCGTTTCCATGTGGCTCCCAGGTAATTTTCCTTCTTAGTTCCCAACACGATTGCCTGTCAGGAGACTTTTGAGTTGATCCTGCCCACTGATGTGGATCACTTTTACCTCCTGCAGCTTTGTGTTCTGTGACATTTTAGGGTGCCCCTCTGTAGCTCTCGCCCCACCCTGCTGATCAAAAATACTGTAACAACAAAGGATGGGGGTGTTTCCAATAAGCCTGAGGGAGCCCATCAGAGGCTTCTCTCCAGATGCACCCACATCTAATCCTTACAGTGAGTGTGGATTTGTTCACTGCTGTTGCCTGCCAATTCTGCCAGGGGACATCTTTTGCCAAATTATTCTCCAGGAATCAATCATCTTTTTTCACGTTTGCTCGTTTACTTGTGAAACCAGTTGTTTGTAAGACAACATGGCAGGCAAGCACAGTGGAAGACTTTTTTGTTCAAAAGTATTTTTGGAGGGATGGTGATAAATAATTTTGAGATATACTTGGAATAATTAGCAAATGAGAATAGAAAACATTGAAAGAGAAGAGTACCGAGGGAACGTGTTTTGTTAACAGCATGCAACATACTCACTAAGCTACATACAACATGCTTATTAAGCTACAGTGATGTGAAGTTCTAGTGCCCGGCCCAGGGGTTTGCAGATCAGTGAAGTGGAGCATAAAGTCCAGAAGCAGACCTTGCACACCTTAAAATGTAGAATCTGACAGAGGAGGCATTTCTTCACACCTGTGGGAAAGGGACCAGTTAGGGCAGCGGTTCTCAACCTGTGGGTCGCGACCCCTTTGGGGGTCAAATGACCCTTTCACAGGGGTCACCCCATTCATAACAATAGCAAAATTACAGTTACAAAGTAGCAACGAAAATAATGTTATGGGTGGGGGGAACAACAAAACAAGAAAAGCCGTATTAAAGGGTCATGGCATGAGGAAGGCTAAGAACCACTGAGTTAGGGTCTGGGGGCAATTGGCCAGACACAGAATACAAAGTTAGATTCTTGTCCTATGCCATATGCTCAGGTAGAATAATACATGGGATTTAAATAGATTTTAAAAAAAACACAGAAAAATGCACCGTTAAAACAAAAGATTTGACTACTTCAGCGTTTAAGAACCTTTATTTCAAAAAGCACAATTTGCAAAGTAAGGGACAAATCCTTTTCTCAGGCTAATCTATGTAACATACGACAGGTTAATTTCCTTCGTATCTAGAGTTTGATAAATCAATAAGTAAGTTGAGCAACCTCGTAGAAAAATGGACAAAAGGAAGCACCCATAGTAAGTAGACATTCAACATAGCTTAACCAGCCAAGGATCTTAAATAAAAAATAAGCTGTATTTCCCATCTGAAACTAGTGGAGGCTTTAAAAAATGCTAGCTGAGAAGAAAGGAGAGAGGAAGCAGGCACTTTATATTCTGTGGTACCTTTCTGGCAAAACAGATCCCAATCTGCTCAGATGTGTCTGCTCTTGGACTTGGCACCATCCTTCCTGGGACTGTGTCCTCACACAATGATCATAGGTACATATATTTTCCTGTCATTTGTTACAGGGGAGAAGTGCAGACAAAAGAGATTCCGTTCAATAAAGCCGGGTCCCTCCCCACAAGGGCATACTATGTGCTTATTTAAAATGCATGAAATAGAACTGGCACTGCCGAGCCACTAGGCGAAATCCCCTGGGGACTGACTGACAGTCTTTTCTTCAAACACTGTGAGAGGATGCTGGAGCTGTGCCTGGCGCTGCACCCAGTTGTACTCCGTGAGGGATGGTCGGGAGAGCAGGGGGACGCCGGCCAGCACTGAGTTTTCCTGGTGTGGAGGACTGTATGGCCAGCGGAAGGATTCAGCCAGTCTGAACAGCAGTGGTGTGATATAAAAAGACGGCAAAATGACTTCAGCATGCCAAAACGTGTGCTATCACCGATTATGGCTGGTCCAGAGGATCATGGGTGGCTTCTGTTTGTTTTCTTTCCTCTTCTTTTTAGAAATTGTCTTTATGTCTCAAGTTGTCTCCAAAAAGTATCTTTTCAGTCAAGAAAAAAAATCTAATTATTGTGGTTAAAATTCACTATTGGGAAAACCAGTCGACAGAGAGGTGTTCTAAAGTAGGGCATGCTTTCGTAGCCCCCAGGTCCTGTCCTTCACAGAAGCGGCCTCTCTGGAGAAAGGTGCTCTCTGGCCAGCCCCTCAGCATCTGGATGCTCCCCGACTCCTTGCCCATGTTCCTTTTCTTCAGTGTCTCAGCAGCCTATAGAGACAAAGGGATGGTAGACAGGGGTTCTGTCTTTAGACTTAGATGCTAAAGAGATGATAGACATGATATATGCCTCCAAAAGTTAGTAGAAAAAAACCCCGGTGTATTTCAATGTCACGTTTTGAAGCCCTTTCATATACTAACAGTAATAATAGTAGTGACAAGAAGGTCAATACTTGGGTTGCCCTTTTTAATGTGCTAGGCATTGTTCTCCCGTTGCTTATGCCTATCTACTCATTTCCTCTTTGCCTGTAGGAGAGAGAGCATTATTAACTTCATTCACAGGTGAGGAAACTGAGGCACGGAGAGGTGAAGTACGTGGCTAAGCCAGGATCATGCCCAGGCCTTTGGCTCCAGAGTCTGTGTAACCGCTCCTTGCCCTCCGTCCCTCACAATCAGATATTGTTTTCTTTGCTTTACATGAATTAGCTAGTTTCCTTTCAGAGCAAGCCTTCCTGTCTTGTTCATCAAAGCTTAGTTGACACTTCTTATATGTCAAACACTCTTGGTCGGAGGAGGGTGCACAGGGGTGAATGCAAAGCAGTTCCTTTCTCAGTGTCTTGAGTGTAGGTTTGCTGGCAGGTTCCAGCGTGGGCTGGCAGGTTCCAGTGTCAGGCTGTGTAAGCTACGGAGGGGATGGTGGAAGCCAGAAGCTGGGTTTGCTGTGCGTTGGGGCCTGCCTTTACCTCATTGCACTGGAGGGGAAGTGGCAGAGGGTGGGGAGGGCATTATGAAATGACAGGAGCAGAGTAATTGACCCTTGGTCTGCTTTCAGAGGAATCCATTTGAGATCGGTAGGATAGCTATATGCAAGACAACAGAACGAATAGCCTTACCAAGGGGCAAGGGCAACGAATTCACCAGGCTGGTAGGCAGATCATTGCTGTTGGGAAAGGCTTCAGGACCCTCAGAAAGGCAGCTTGTATCTGCAAGTGTAAAGGCACCCTGTAATGAGATCTGAGTCCACGATTGATTTTTGTAATGAGGAAATCGATTTCCTGAGGAAATTGTGTGACAGTATGATGTTTGGATGAGCGGACCTCTTGGTTGGTCCGATGGAGCCACAGTGACAGATGGTCTCTGGGTCTAGATTCTGATGCTGTGGGCCTTTGGTGCCACCGGCGGCCTGCTCCTTTTAGTGATGCTGTCTTGTTTACCCCCCTAGGTTCATGGAATCCGAGCTCGACCTCAATGACATCATCCAGGAGATGCACGTGGTGGCCACCATGCCAGACCTGTACCACCTGCTGGTCGAGCTGAATGCAGTGCAGTCTCTTCTCGGGCTGCTTGGACACGATAATACAGATATCCTTTCAGACCTGCCCTGGGCAGGAGGGCTGACAACGCTGTTTACTCTTCCCTTCCGTCGTCGGCCTCTGCTGATGTGCGTGCTCACGTCTTGGTTCCATTTCCATTCTAATTATCTCCCATCCTGAAACACATGCTGCTCTTTACGCATTTGAAAACCTGGCTTAATCTATTAATAAATCTCGGGCAATCCTTAATTGTCCTATTTGCTCTTATTAGTAAGTACTAGCATACATCCTGATGAATGTGTTCACACGGTAGCTGCATTCATTTTCAGGCTCTGGATTTGGGGGCTCCTGGGAGAGGGCAGGCCACACGGGGGCTTGGTCTTTTGATGTGGAGAATCCTGCTGCTTACAGGTGGCCCAGTGGCAGTGAGAGCCAAGGAAGCAATGAACCATTGAGGACTTCACAGTAGTATGACCAGGAAGACAGGACTCTTTCTATGTCCTGTCCTCTGCTGGGTTTCCAGCAGGAGCTCTGGTGGCACCGTGGCTAAACGCTTGGCTCTCAACCAAAAGGTCAGTGGTTCAAGCCCACCAACTGCTCCGTGGGAGAAAGAGGTGGGACTCGGATTCTGTACCGGTTTTCAGCCAGGGAAGCCCTGTGTGTTAGACAGGGTTCTCTAGAGAAACAAAACCAGGACACAATAAGCCTACCTATCACACCTTGTCAGGTGCCTCTGCCCTGCCCCATGGGGTCGCTATGGGTTGGAGTTGACCCAATGCAACAGGTATGTATTCCCAGTTCCGTCAAGAAGCCGGCGTGCCCGGGAGCGTTTGGTATTTGTTGAAGAAGCATTGAACTCAGCAGAGGATCTACGTTGATTCTCAACTGCTTCGCGTGTGGAATTTGGTGCCCCTGGTACTCGCGGCCAGAGTAACCGGCGCCTTTCAGTGTCATCCAGAAGGCTGCAGGAAACCGTCTCAGTTGGGAGCACAGTCCCTGACACCCAGTAGGCACTTAGTACATGTTAAAGGTAACTGAGCCCGAGTCCTGACTTCTAGAAGCGTCTGGCATTGGGCCGTTTCCGTCTGATGGGCAGGAGCTCTGGGTGCTGCACAGGCCTTTTGATGTGCCCATGGCCTTGGTTATGTTCATGACACCAAATTCTCTTCCAGTCGCTTTTTGTTTGAATTCGGATTTCTAAAGGTAAGAGGCAAATGGAGTTCGTCTGCTTGAGTGATATTCATGGGGAGTGTGCTGCTGCTGCTTCATGTTATTTCCATCTTTCTGGTAATCTCTCTCCTGAGAGCATGTCTGACTAGGTTCTCTCCTGCCCTGATAATTCTCATAGAAATAAATCAGTGAGTAATTTTAATGTAGACTCTCTTGAAGAGTGATCTTCAGATGTTTCCGATACTTCCTGTAATGTTAGACATTATTAAATCTTACTCGGAAGTCCCCAGATTGATGACTGGGTTCCCCGGGGTTCACTGGGTGGGGGTTCTGGTTTGTACAGGAACCCAAGCCTATCTCTGCATGTGCTTGGTCTAAGCTGGCATGCGTCCATCCCGTAGATAATATTTTGAGTGTTTCTGACGTGCTTGACACTGCGCTAGGCCCAGAGGAACCAAAGGCCAGTATCTGAATCCATCCGTGAGCATCTGTTGGGTTTTCTACCTAGTGACCGGCTCTATTCAACACACCGGAGTTTAGTCGCTAAAAGTCATGGTCATGATAGCACATTTCAGTTGACCTACAGAATGGTTAACGTGTTCGCGGTTGGAGCCCTCCCCACGGCTTTGCAGTCTGCTCCCATCAAGAATACAGCCTTGGAAACCCTCTGGGGTAAGTTCTCCTCTGTCCTGTGGGGCCACTAGGGCATGGACTCAAGTGGCAGTGGATGGTAGTGTTTCAGAATCAGAGTAGACCTTAGAGATGACTTAGCACAGAGCCTTGCTGATTGGTTGATGAGGCTGAGGCTGTGGTGCTGGATCGCTACTGGATGGCCAGGCCAAGGCTAGCCCTCCAGTCTTCTGACTTCCAGCCTGGTGTTCTTTCGTAGGCCTTTTGAACACCAAAGAGCCCGTTTTCCCTTTGGAGTTTACTGCTTCCCTGACAGAATTCCACAGCCGCCTGTTTCCCAAGTATCAGTATAGAAATTACCTCATCTGTTTCTGCAAACAGGGCACACATTCTTTTTTTCTATTGCTGCTAACTTAAATAAGCGTAGCAGCTTTCTGAAGTGACGGACATTGTGCTGACTCACCAGCCTGGTTCCTGCAGGGGCAAAGACTGACACAGGAAACCGTCTCCGACGAGGCAGGGCCCACACGTTCAAAGTTGTTCAATTCTGGTCTTTAAAAAGGAAAAGAAAGCACCAAGTCCCCCCAACCGCTCTGACGACAGTGTCAAGTCCCCCCAACCGCTCTGATGGCGGTGTCAAGTCCCCCCAACCGCTCTGACGGCGGTGTCACTGTCCTCCCGCTTGCTGACAGCTGAACTTCCCCACCTTTCTGTGCCAACCTTCCCCCAGCCGCCCTAATGATGTTTTTCAAAATTTGATTCTCAGTTCTACCCTCCTTCAAATATAGCGTACATTTGAGAAAAAAGGGATTTTTTAATTGCCTTAATTTTAATTAGATGCAGCAATTAGAGCAAATGTCATCCTCTTCAAAGTATCATTTTTCTTGGAAGTGGTTCCAGGAAAGGGCAGGCCCTCTTGACTAGCTGACGGAGCGTTGGAGCACTGATGTCCCTGGGAGGTGGCAGCCGGCTTCTCTTCCCTCCGTCTATCATGGAAAGTTTTCTTCCGAAGCGGCTGCTGTTCACAGTTTACTGCTACTCACCTATCACTGCTCCAAACACCTTATCTTGAAAAAACAATGTCACGGTGGCCATGACTTACTTTTTGTAAAAATCATTTTATCGGGGGCTTGTACAAATAACTTACATTTTTAATCTTTTTTAACTCTTCAGTTGTCAGCCAAGGCCATTCGTGGCCGGCTGTGTTCCCAGCCAGCACAGGTCATCTCTGCGCTGTCCTTCTCTGCGAAAACATAAACTCTCGGTGTTTTAATTGGATCTGAGGCTGGTCTGTCGTAACCTTAAGAGGCAGAGGATGTGAGAAAACAGCTTGTGCCTCGTCCTTTCAACCGTGAGAAGCTGCTTCAGAGTTTATTCTGGCGCTCTGCATCACTGCTGCTGGTGAGGGCTTGTCAGCGCTTCTGCGCCTCCTCTCCCCCCGAGAGGCTGGAGCCCTGCCATCAGTTGGCTGCAGAGCCGAGCAGAATTCTGGTCTGTGCAGCGCACCTCTGGGGCGGGGAGGTGGGAGGAAGGGCCCAACTCTGTCGGAGACTTTGAACACATCAGGAGGAGCCATAAGGTAGCATCTAACAGCTGCTGCTTTGAAAGAAGTACTACTTTTTAAAGCAATTTTTCCTTCCACGTCCATCATTTAAACATGTTCAGAGCTTCTTTTCGATGAGCGCTTTTTAGCGTGTTTGCAGAAAAATCGAAAGCCCACCTAAACAGATCCTCATAAGATTTTGCCAAACAACCGATTTGGGCGGGTGGAGGCTGGTTTAAGTCAAACCTACTCAATTTGCATAAGGGACCGGAGGCATGGAAGCAGGGGATGATAAAACCCCAGAGGGCAGCCTTCCGCAGTCCCAAATCCATCCGTAACCAGTCGTTTGCCATTTTTAATGAATGTGCTCAATGTCATTCTCTGCCATGCATCCAATGTCAGTATTGTCAGGAGGGTCCTTTTGAAAAATCATTTTTGTAGCTCACCAGCATTTACTGTGTGTGGTAAAGTGTGCTGACTGTTATTAAAGAAACCAGGAATTGGACCTCCATTTGAGAGCAAGAAGAGTCAAATTGCATTGCTACCCCTAGTGCCTGTGTGGTCAATGCCCTGGGAGTGTCCTGCTCAGGAAATGCCCCTGGAGAAGGCGGCATAGCTCATCTCTGGCTTGAGAGTGATCAGGGGTTGGGCATTTGCAGAAGAGTAAGCTTTGGAGAACTCTGGAGGCGAGGGGATTTCAGCTGTCTTTTCATGATCACAAGATGCCCAAGTGGCGTAGTGCTTACGACTTGGGTGGGTAAACCAAGAGGTGAGCAGTTTGAAACCAGCAGCCACTCTACTGGTGAAAGATGAGGCTTTCTACTCCTGTCGAGAGCTGCAGCCTTGGAAACCTGCTGGGGCGGCACTGCCTCACCTCTAAGGTGGCAGTGAGTCAGAATTGACCCGAAGGCCGTGAGTTTGGGGCTTTTGTTCTCATGATGGCGGCATAAGTTGCCACCCCCCAGATGTGGGAAGTGGACATGCTCTTGGTGGTTGCTCATTTAGTCACAACACGGTTAGGAGGATAGCAGGAACACATCTTGATTGAAACACACACATGCACACACGACTGCTGCTTAGCTAAGTGACTTATTTTCTAATAAAAAAAATTGTAATCTAAACTCAATTTATTCAAAGTCGGCCTTCTCGC